AAAAATGCTTTATATTTTTTAACGGAGGGCATAATAGTTTCCTATAACATATTCAGGGTATAAAATGAAAATCTTTTGAAACTTTAAAAATTTACCTATTAGGTCTCAAATCAGGAAACTACCAATAAATCACTCAAATCAGGAAAAAGTAGCACTGATACATGATCGGAATCTTCAAAAGTAGAGAAAAGGAGATTTACTTTAAAGCAGACAATGGGAAGATTAAAAACAATTGGAAAGATATTAGAAAGCCCACTATAAAGTAAAATTTTCTTCAAGTCTCACAAATGAGAATGAGGTTTTCCACTTTTACCATCATGCTTACTAGCATAATTAGGAATGGAGGGAATGCTAAATTTAAAGTGATTTTTCTCTCTCTTGGATATGAATGAATTGTGTAGCTCAATAAGAAAAATAGACCTCAATGATATTGAAATGCTGTAGACTAAGTAAAATGAATTCTATAACCTCATGAGCAATACCTTCCACTTGGGTTTCCTTCTGTCTCTGAAGAAACATCTTCAATAAAAGATGCAAGTTCAGCAAACATGATTTCGCATGCTTCCAGGTGCAGTGGCCAAGAGCCATGGTGGCTACATGCTATATAAAACCCTCTTCAGCCAAAAATAGACACCAAAGTGGATAGAAAATGAAAGAAAAAATTAGATGCCCTTATAACATTAAAACTGTAGAACGCTAGTACCAAATAATCCTCCCAGTGCCCTTCCACTAAAAAGAAGCAAAACTCAAATTTTAAGGTAAAACCTCATTTTTAGTTCACTATCAGTTAACATCAAAGGGCAAATATAACCCCCTCCCCCTCCCCCAAAGAAAAAAGGTTACTAACATCATATCAACTGTTAAACATATCAGCTCTATTTAAGTAGGTAAATTGCTGGAATCTCAGGATTAGTACCAATTCCATCATCTTGGAGATTTCAATATGAATCCCTTGTCACGGGAGTAATTATTTTTCATCATATAAAATTAATAGTTTTTCCCACATAAACAGACATCGTGTACACAATCCTATAAGAATTTTCAAGAGTGACATCCTACTAATAACACAGAAACAACAGGGGAAAAAATCAGCGTAGCAAACTAATCATCTAGGAAAGAATAAAATTGAAATATCCATTTTTTGGATAGAAAATAAAGTTACAGGATGAGCTCTACCACACACACACACACAAATCATATTTGAGGTTAATTGTGAAGGAGAAAGGACGGGCAAGAAGACAAGGAATCACAAAAAAGAACTGAAGAGGGGGATTCGGCCATATAAAATGAACGTGTAGCAAATCACATATTAATGAGACTAATCTGTTTATGAATTCCAGCAATCATTGTATAAGTCAACAATTACAATAAAGTTGTCACATGAACATTTAAGACCAGCATACCATATCTCTGTTTCACTTCTGTACTCTTTTAACTTTTCAAATATTAAATGCCCCAATTTTACCATGAAAATGATCCCATAACACAATAACAACCATCACAATAAGTTGGAATTATTCTAGCAAAGTCATATACAACTCTATAATGAAATTTTATTAAAATAAACACAATTACGGCAACAAATAGAAACAAAACAGATCATCAATCAATAATCAATTCCATAAACATTATAACTTAACAGCATGGAAATAAATATTAAAAAATTGTCCTGAAGTATGCCTGCCGGTGTTCATGTAAACATAGGTTTTACAAAAGGGATCAAGTTCATTGAGGATACTCACAATATGTACATCGGATCCAGATTTCAATGAAGGGAAAATAGATGGCAAAGTTCTTTGGTTACTACAGTTCCACCAGATTCTCGAGCAGCTGGTGGACATGAACAGACAAACATAGCATACATGAGCCACTGCTCCAGTTTATTATCAGCATCCTGCGATGGATGAGCCTTTCCACCCAACTCAATTGGGGTAATATGAGCAAGACGCTGCATAACCTCTATCCTGCCAATGCCGAAGACATATTACACCAATCTTGCAATATTTATCTTGGAAGTGGATCAAGGTATAAAATTAGCTGAACGAAGCAGGATAACGTGTGTGTGTGTGTGAGCATCACAAGTATTTATTTATTTATTTATTTTTGAGAGGGGTATTTTTCACTTTCACTTTATATTAAAAACCAATAACTCAATTAAGGGTTTTCCCTGCAAAAAAAAAAAAATAGTTGGCATACGGGCAAAAAAATTTCTTCTTGCCAGGTTAGGAGAGCAAACCCAACATAACCATCCACTAATAGAGAGAAGAAAACATTTAGATATTATCCATAAAAAAATACGCATCTATCCCTTCATGTTTATTACAAGTCACTTTAATGAAAGCTGAATCATGGTGCAGGAGCATCTATGGAAACCAAAAGAGTGACTGGATTTCTGTCCACACTATGGTAGCGGACATGCTACTCTGACTGAAGTTGTGCGGGTGGGGTAGCACCATTGTTTTCAATTTCAATTTTGTCCTTGTGTCCTTTTTCAAGTTATTTCAGATGGCCTAGAATAGACTCTTCAGGTTTATTGAAAAAAAAAAAAAAGAATAGACTATTCAGCGGCTGGAGATTTGTTAATAATTAGGGATTCTATCAATATATAAAAGGATTTTTACCAATGTATTAGGACCATATAAAATCAATGTAATAAAATAACATTTCTTCTCTTTCCTAGGAAGTTTAAGCACAAGACCAACCCCCTTTGCTCTTTGCTCATTCCTTAAGTATCTCAAGTGCTGCAAAGCATGGATTGCAGGGAAGGAGGCAAAAAGTTAAGGAAAAGAAGCATGTTACATACTTTGCTTCCAGGACAGAGCTTGGACAAAGCTCAGCAGCATATTTGACAAGCTCACTAAGACATCGAGCCCACCTGTTCTTATCAGGGCTCTCAAATATTATAGATTGAAGCGTCACTTCAGGGGGAATGGCATCAGATTCTCTTCTCAAATCAAAAGGTCGCCCTGAATCCCAGTAGCAGTTCTGGACAATCTCATCCTGTAGCACCAAGATATTTAAAATTTAACAAAATAATAATAATAATTCCATTTTTTATAACAAATAATAAATTCTGCCATAAGTAAATTTCAAATAAAATAAAATAATGAACAGTTATTAATACCCCATGTTCTTCTAGAACATCAATAATAAATATTGGCTCAGCTTCATATTTCAGAAGATGATTTGGCAGCTCAATCCTCAGGTCCCTGATATCATTTCTCAAGGCCCGGACACACCGCATAATTCTAATGCTGTATGCCTAATTTGACTATCAACAGATGCAAGGAAAATTACACCAACTGCATCAATTTCTGATGCACGAAATTCAATTGCTTCTCCCATGTGTTGGAAGGAAGACTTTCTAAATCTCTCAGCTTCATGCCCCAGAGGCCTGGCATCTTGAGCATCATTTTGCATTCTGTCATCTATTAGACAAGATCTCCAAAAACGCATTAGTTCCAGCAGGCGTCCTAATGACGTTTGAATGAGAAGAGGGAATTCATCTGGAAGTCGTAATATGAAGTTGGCCATCCCCTTCATTACGGCAAAACGACGATGGGGTAGGTATTTCACAATGCGGTTTAGTACTTGTACTGCTTCCTCGCGAACACCAGGGTCAATACTTATGCCATGTTGGGGAATTATTTCAGTGATTTTATCACTTCGTCCAACTTCTTCTATTAGATATGGGATGCACTTTAACACAGAGCGGAATAGATACCCTGAGACCTTTCCTTGGTTACAGCATCTACAAAATATAGAGAACAAAAGGGTATCAATGCAGTCGGAATTTCGATAGAAATGTGAAAATTTGAAAATTCTGGGAAGGATTGTCACTTTGGCTAGTTTAAAAATAAGAAATTGGATCGTTATACAATGAAGACAATTGATATAAATGAGATACTAATTTCAGAAAATTTGAATAATAAAAATCACATATATCAATGTGATATTTAGATGGTTTAAAGAACAAGTTAAAAATAAAATACCATGAAAATAGGAAAGGCATGCAATCCCCTTTTGTAACCTTTAAAGGGCTGCTCCAAGAAAGTCATGATTTTAACAACAAAACTGAAAAGAAAAATATCATGTGCATTTGGACCATTACTCTTACTACCATCTTTCCCAAACTTCTCATTTCTCACATTCCTAATCTAAATCTTCTATTTATTATCCGTTTATCTATGCTATTTAGGACAGTAGAGAGAATGCTTCGGAAAGCCTCGATAAAAGAAGGCTTGTATTTCATATATTTATCTGTAGGTTGTTTAATTTGAGATACATAATCAACGGGGGGGCTTCTATGGCATAGCTATATAGAGAATATAGAATAACCAATAATATTCTAATGCCCCTTCAAGATGGAGCATATAAAATATGTGCACCAAGTGTGTTACAGAAGTAAGTTATATGACCCTTGATTCAACAGCACTGCCAAGAGTAGGAAAAGTGCTTGTGATTCACAACACTAATATAAGAGTAGCTGGAGAAGAGCATTGCTGATGCAATGCAGAGAATAGAGAATGGCCTGAGAACTGCAAGAAAAGTTGTCAGAATTCTGCCAGAAAAGACACCAGATGATTGTTGGAAAAGTTGACCAAATAGGCCAAATGCCATGTTCTCCTGGAAAAGTGGCCGGAGCACTTCCAGAAAAGTTGTCAGAAGAGGACTGATAACCGAAGAAAGTGGTTGGACATATGTGGACGAAAGGAACAGAGCTCCCCAAAGTGAGGAAAGCTATATCCCTGGAACCACACTACTACAAAAAGCCAACTCTTCTTTTCCTGTGTGCTTCAATACCATGTCAAGGGAAGCTTGCATTACAAGTATTTATAAAGAGTGAAAGTCGTTTAGCTCAAGATACAGCTGATATGGGACTTGGACAGTGTTACAAAATAACAAAAGAGGTAAAGTGATACCATTCTAACATTTAGAAATTAATTTTTCCGTTCACATGGATAGGTATATTGGAAGTGGTTAGGAAGTCAGTTCAAGCAGGTCGAGCCATTAGCACCTAAGGCAAGTTAGTTAGGAATCTAACAAACGACTCCTTAAATAACTGTCGTACAATGAAATGGAGCAGCTGATTCAGTTTGTGAATGAAATTCTCAGTCTTTCAATCTCTTCTCTCTCTTCTACTCTTCTTTCCCTTGCCACATAAATTTATTTAATATATAATAAAACAAATAGAAAATATAGCAGTACACCATACGAAAGTGTGACTAAAAGAAATTATTTACTCAATAAATTCATTAACAAAGAATAGACTCTCCCTATTTAGCTTTAAGTTTTTGCAGCCCATCAACTATAATATGCTTATTACACTATAATGGTTTTCTGGCTGCCATATATTTCAAGAAATTACCTATTGTGGTCTTTGAAGATGTCAACAGTGCTTGACTGTATGTTCTATGACATGACCTTAGTATAGACTCAATGGCAGCTTTCACTTTGGGAATGTAGTGGCCAATATCATGACCTGCTGGCTCAAAAAAGCAGAGTTTTAGGATTTAGACATCTATAAATAACCATTTTCATCCATTTATTATATGCTAATGGCTAGTTTTACCTTTAAAAATATCCAAACCCACATACTGACCAGAAGGCAGCATGACAATAGCAAGCAAAGCACGAAGGCCAATAACCTTTGCTTCACTAAGGCTGTCTTGTTTGAGCAATTCTAGTAACATGTGATTCATAGCAAAATCAAGATTATGTTCAGCTATCGTTACACAAAACTCAACAAGTTTATCATGTTGGACATCCTGAGTAAGCATTCCTTTCCTTAGAACTGTTAAGAGTTGTGAGGTTACACTGTCGAGGTAGTCCCATATACGATTTGGGGCCTGGTTAGCCGCATGGACACTCAAGTAAAATTTTAAAACTCGATGAAGACAATCCAAAGCCATGAAGCGGTGATTCTTATCCTGCAAGATCAAAACCAGAGTAATGAAAAATTATTGAAATATGTTAATTGAAAGGAGAAAAGAAATTAAAAACTTGATTAACAAGGAAAAAGCATTTCTTTTTTCTTAACAGAGAACGTGAAATAAATATAGCACACTCAGTGGCTGGATTTTCTGGAAATCATGCAAACAAAATTTTGAAAAGGAAGTCATTCATGTCACCCATCCTTATATTAAAGTAAATGAAACATTAATCAAAACCAATTTCAAGGATGAAAGAAAATAACTAATCCCAGAAAGGGGGAAAGGCAGGGAGAGAAAAAATAAGAAAAAGAAACAAAGCTCAAATAAAAACCATAATTTGCAAAAATCAGTCTGTTTTCTTTTCCCAGAATATTCATGCAAGTAACAAGCAACAATTAACAATATCAGCATGGTATTATAAAAGCCATGAGAGATGACAGTCTAACTAATTCAAGCTCGAATTATATTCAACCTCCAAAACAAAATGCCAGACTGAATAGACTCAATTTATTGTATGCCATAGTCAATCCAAACAAAACATATATGCTTTGAACTTACTTTAAGAAGCTTGTAGAGTTGCTCCATGTGAGGACTTAAGTTAGTGTAGAATATTTGAGGATCACCAAGGCAAAGAAGGAGAATCACCAACGGGTAACCAACCTGGATGGTGAAACAGGATTTGTATATAAATAAATAAAACATCAGTAGTCTTAGGATTTTAAGGCAAGGAAAGATAGCAGAACAGAAAAGAGAGTTACAGCAATGTGTTTGCTCTGTTTATCCATCCAATGCACAAGCTGACTTCTTATACGTCCAACAGCTTCGTACCAGAATGTAAGTGCCGGCTCTACACCAGAAGGTGGCCACTGGCTTTTCCCGCCATCTGCAAGGGGTGCTAGGATATTTGACAGCATATTGCATAAAGCATGGTGAAGTTCACTTTTGCGTTTATGTGGGGCACGGTTTAAAGGGTTTGCTTTGGCCACAAAAGATGCAGATGCATTCAATCCACCCTCCGTTTTAACCTGAGAAGGAGCATATACTCACACCAATTTTTATAAAAATCTTCCGGCAAGTACTTATATTTTACACATACCCCCAGTTTCAGGTAACGCATTCCATTAATGATGCTAAGTGTTTCACTTCTGGCAACATTAGTGTCAATTCGACGTGTATTAAGTTCCATGAAAAACCGCTCAGTCACAGAACTAAACCTGCATAAACAGCGTCAAAATGGATTAAATAACCAAAAAATATTTTGTTCTTGGGATAAAGACATCATGAACTTCATGTATTTAGCCATGACTCAACTGTACCATATATCAAATGTATGGATCCAGAAGCACCCCTATAATTCAAACACTAATACACATGCACGCATGCACAAAGGCGCCTCTTGCTTAATTATGCAAAAATTACAGAGTTTTAACAGTTATTGAGCAAGCCAAGCTCGAATCTGATGTAACACACTCACGCACACTTGCTCTAACCTGAACAGAGGAAGAGAATAGAGAAGTATAGAAACAGAGAGGGACAAATGGGAGTGCGAGAAAGCGAGGGAGAAGGGGAGGGAGGGAGAGACAGAACTGAAGGGAGAGGGAGAGAGCTTCAAATAACTCAAACTAATTCATTCATTCATCTAGTCTACCCATTACAAGTACAACTTAGTCTATTTAAACAAAGCCATAACGCCTAATAAGGAAACCTTAATAACATCTCCATGTAAAGTCAATGCTAAGATTTCCCCTTACAAAATATTAAAATAACACAAAAGAAACAACTTATTAAAATAATACAAGAAAACCTATTTCTTCCTAGAATAATAACAATCTACTGGCCTAGCTTTCTTCAAAATATATTATTCTTGTATTTCATCAGAATCACTCCAACTCTAATATGAAGAGCTATAGTATAAACTTTATTTCTTCTCAATTAATCCATAACTAAATTAGAAGCTCTGGAAATTCAGAAACCAATTTGGTTGCTTTGCAACTTTATTACCAAGTTACCGAACCATCAGCAGAAATTTAAGTATCTAAAGAGAGAGAACAGGAACAACCCAATTAGCAGCATAACCTTCAAAAAAGTGAATCCTGTAGAAATCCCATTAATTGAAGATTTTATATGCTTGCGTTTATTTGCTTTAGTAGGAGATTATTTTCATTCATTATGGAGATTGTTTAGGAATGTATTTTGCTGACTTGCTGCCCTATGATTACTCTAGTGAGTATATATGCTCTGTCATCTACAGTATGGACATAAACTAAGAAATCAACTAAAGCTAATAAAGAAGCTTGAAGTGGTGGAGGGTAGAAGTTCAGAAAATTCCAACTTTATAATGTATTCATTGTAACATCAAATTTCTTCTTTGATTACAGTAGATTTAAGCAATGAATAGAACACCTACCCTCAAAAAAGTAAGCATAGACCACCAATGCCTAAGGTCCTAAAGAAGAAAACTACAAATTCAGAAATTGCAAAATTAGTCAATTCTTAAATCAATTTAAAACAGCTTTAATTCACCAAACTGAGCACACCTTGTGTAACTACACTGACCAACAAATGAATCTGACACGATAATTCCATCACTAAATATTTCTTAAATCTGCCCAAATAATGTTAAACTATTTTTATGCCATAAATAACTGATTTCAAGTGCAAATCAACAATGAAATACCTGATACGTGATAAAGCACCCAAGAGTTGAGCAACTAGGTCCAAAAGAAGCCCCCTCAGATCAACCAATGAGGGATATTCAACCTGGCTAACAACCCTGCAATAAGATTTCATTGAATTTACATGATAAGGCCAGATGAGCAGATAAAGAAAATGTTGCAAAGTTTCAATTAAGATTTGTATAGCCTTTCTGAAGCAAAAGCAAAATATAGTGTGCTGTTGTACTGGCTTTAGTTAAAGTTTTAAATTGCGTACAATGATAAGTTTCAAACCAATTAAAATCAAGGAGACAAGCTGCATGCAGACACACAAATGATATGTTCCAGACTTGTATACACAGGGAGCACTTATGAGCAAATTTCATACTCTATTCTTGGTTTTTGGTTGTGCTTGGTGGAATCAATATCCTGCTTCTTTCATTATGCTACTAAATTCTTCACCAAGTGAAACACACACACCCCCCCCAAGGTCAGAAGCATAGATTGGCCACGAACAGATCCATAATCACTTTAAGGCTACAAATTGTTTTGGAGATGCTTGAGTGACTCTATAAACCAATAATAACTACAATGATTGGCAAAATTTTCAGATGTAATCATTAATGTTTAAGAGAGTGAACATTAGTTTGAATCTGATGACACGCTCACTAATCACTGGAAAACAGGAAGGGGGTTGGTGAATGACATCAAATTTGAAATTTCAATCAACCATATCATTCTGCACAAGACATGAGGGGGAAAAAAACTTGATCTCCAAAATCTGAATTGAACAAATATACGAGTGTGTGACAGTAGATGAAACCCATATTCTACAAAATCCAAAAATTTTCACCAATGGGAACGACTCAATTGCTCTAGAGTAACAACAGTTTTTATCAGAAACTAAAGTTGTCACCAGCAACCATAAAGTTACCAGCATGAGGTAATGTTGGAAGTAGGCTGATTGGTCCATAGGCTTTGGGCTCAGTAGTTTGCTAAACCTAACCCTAGATTTATTTACTATTAGTTAGCAGATTATTAGGGATTAGAATAAATCAGTTTATCATCAGATTTTATTCCTTGTATTATTGAGGAGATACGATACAATTTTGATCATATCTCTTCTCTCCTATATGCATCATTGCCTATGATGAATAATACACAGAATTTCAATCACAAAATCACATGGTATCAGGGCTGCAGCACTTAAGTTGTACAAAGCACTGCTGAGTGGCAGCCCTAGGGTACTCGCTGCTGATGGGGAGTCCACCAGAACCCCCGCAAGTCGGAGATCACAGCGTGCCTTCTCCAGGCATAGGCAGCAGCGATGCAATCTTTCAACTCTCTTCTCTCATTGTTACCCATCGATTGAATGGGAACAATTATTTACAATGGTCCAGGAGTATTCTTATGATCGTGCATGGGCAAAATAAGGAACACTATCTCACTGGTAACCCAAAAGTGCCTGCCGTAAGTGATCCCAAGTATGAAACTTGGTGTGCAGAAAATAATATGATGATGGCATGGCTGGTTCATTCTGAATCCAAAAATTAGTGAAGACTACTCACTTGCTAATTCCGCACAAGAAATTTAGGAGTCAGCCAGGGAAACATACTGTATCAAGGAGAATATAGCAGCCATTTATCAAGCAAAGCGCATGCTTCGAACCTCACACAAGTTGAGAAGTCCATTACCCTGTACTGCACTACTCTTCTGCAGCTTTGGCAATATATAGTCCTCTATGAGGTGCATCAATGGTCTTGTCACACTAATGAACTCCATTATAAAAAGGTTGTTGAACATGAGAGGTGCTATGAATTTCTACTAGGCCTCAATGACTCCTTTGAGGATCTCCGCAGGCAAATTATGGGTATGAAACCTCTCCCTTCCCTAGAAGAACATTCAATACAATCAAATATAAAGAAAGCCATAAGGCCCTGGTACAACTTTATCAATTTCTTCCTTATCTAATGCCGAAACTTCTGTTTTGGTGGCCCATGGCCATCAAGGTGGAGACTACAAAGGGAAGAGTTTTCTCAAATATGATCATTGTAATAAAAATGGTCATACACGAGAGACTTGCTAATAAATTCATGGCAAGCCATCACATCTGAAACAAAAAACCAAACGTGATAGCAAGGGGTTCATGGCAAGCCAAACCAATGTTGACAATAATTCACTGAATAATGAAGAACTCGCTATGATGAGATGAATCCTAGAGAAGTATTCTCAAGACAAATCAAGTGAGAAACCTACCCTCTTGGTTACTTTGGCCCATGCTAGTAAGACTTTACTGACTGCACTTATTACTCTTACTAAAAGCAACCATATATAGGTTGTTGATTCAGGAGCAACAGATCACATTATTGGATTTAGAGAACTATTTTCTGAGTTTAGTTCCTATTCTGAGCATACCCTTGTGCAAGCAAGTAGCCAATACTACATATGCCAGAGTTATAGGAATGGGTACAGTGGTGATTTCAGAATTTCTTGTTTTGAAAAATGTTTTATATGTCCCCGATATTCAACGCAACTTGTTGTCAATCAAGTGTATTACCTCTCACTTAAATTGCCTTGCCATCTTTGATAAATTCCACTGTTTTTTTTTTTCAGTACATAACCTTGGGGAAGATAATTGGCAATGCTACGGAATGAAATGGGCTCTACTATCTTGAAGGCGACTTCACCAATAAAAGCTATTTGGCTTATTCTACTTCCAATTTTGTTTCCAGTTTCTGTTATGTCTCAAGATGACATTATGTTATAGCATTCTAGACTAGTCATCCAAGTTTTGATTACATGATAATCTTGTTTCCCAATTCCATGAATAAAATTAGATTTCATTGCGACACTTGCCAATTTGCAATGCAAACTTGTAATTCTTTCCCTGCTACTACTTATACTCCCACCAAACCTTTTTCTTTAATCCATAATGTTGTTTAGGGTCCTTCCAAGATTGAAACTAATTCTAAGGCCAAGTAGTTTGTTACTTTTATTGATGATCATGCTCACTTAACGTGGTTTTTTTTTTAATGGAAGATAAATATGAAGTTTGCGCTATTTTCAAGAACTTCTATATCTTTGCTCAAAATCAATTTCAAACTTCTATAAAAGTCCTTCATAGTGACAATGGAACTAAATATATCAATTCAAATTTCAGGAGCTTTGTTGTTGAAAAAGGAATACACAACCAAACATCATGTGTTCACTCTCCTCAACAAAATGGGGGTAGTCGAGAGAAAAGATAGACACCTTTTTGGAAAAAAGAATACACCACCAAACATCCTGTATTCACTCTCCTCAACAAACTGGGGTAGCCAAGAGAAAAAATAGACACCTACTAGGAGTTGCTAGGGCATTCTTGCTAGGAAAAAATGTTCCACACAAATTTTGGGGAGATGCAGTCCTTACAGCTGCATATCTCATCAACCATATGCCATCCAAGGTTTTAAATTTTCAGACTCCCATTAATGTGTTTTTGGCTTCTTATCCTGACTCTCATTTGGTTAACTCCCTTCCTGCAAGTGTTTTTGGGTGCATTGTCTTTGTGTTTAATGATGAAGGTGGCAAGTTCCAATCCTGGTCCCTCAAGTGCATTTTCTTGGGATATTCCTCTACTAAAAAGGGATATAAGTGCTATTCCCCTAAAGCCCGTAAGTTCTATGTCACTATGAATGTCAAGTTTGTTGAATTACTACCATTCTATCCCAAATTACCATTCAGGGGGAGAATGATAATGAATGGTTAATTTTTGCCACAGATAAGGGTAATGGTCATTTAAATAATAACATACAAACTGGAAGCTTTAGTATTAGTCCTCATATTGGTCCTCAAACATCACTAGACCCTTTCTCTCTCGGTTATTGTCAACTTTCCAATGATCCAAATCCTGTTCCCACAGTTTCAGGACCTGGAATGGCTTTATACAACCCTGACTCATCTATTTCTGGATCTGAAACACAGCCTACTCAACCTGAACCTTGTATAATCATCCTACTAGTGTTGAAAAGCTATCCATCACCTCCCAAGAACCCACTTTTGAGCCACACTTGGATGAAACAGGGGCGAATCAAGCTGAACAGCACACAAACAGTGAAGATCCCATTGTTATTCCATGACAAAATCATGATTCTCAACCTTAGGTTAATCCTGAAGATCTCAAGTGGCCTATTGCTCTTAGAAAAGGCAAGAGTTGTACTCAACATCCCATTGGTAGGTATGTCTGTTATGACAAGCTTAATTCTCAATTTAAGAACTTTATTGCTGTTGTTGATAGTGAGAATATACCCAAGACCTTTGAGGAAGCCTAATGTGATCCTAAGTGGAAATTAGCAATTGATGAAGAGTTGATAGCTCTAGATAAAAATCAAACTAGGGAGATTGTGGATTTACCTCATGGGAAGTCAGTTGTAAGAAGGAAATGGGTTTTCACTAAGAAAAAAAATCCTGATGGCAGCCTCAATAAATATAAAACCCAATTAGTTGCCAAAGGTTTAAGTCAAACCTATGGTATTTATTACGAAGAAACATTTGCACTAGTGGCAAAATTCAATACTATAAATGTCTTACTTTCTCTTACTGCTAACTTGGACTGCCCATTATATCAACTAGATATTAAGAATGCTCTCTTAAATAGGGACTTGGAGGAGGAAGTATGCATGGAGATTTCCTTGGGATTGCGAAGTCTAAAAAATGAAAATAAAGTATGTAAACAGCACAAGTCATTATATGGATTAAAACAATCTTCTAGAGCTTGGTTTGAGAGATTTACTCAAGCTATAAAAGGGTTTGGTTATACTCAATGTCAAACCGATCATACATTATTTGTAAGATAATCTGATCAGAAAATAACTGTATTAATTGTGTAAGTAGATGATATAGTGCTAACAAGAAATGATGCTGAAGAAATCATGAAGTTGAAAGAAAGGCTAGCTGAAGAATTTGAAGCTAAAGACCTTGGAAATTTGAGATATTTTCTAGGTTTGGACGTAGCTTGCTCATCAAAAGGCATTAATGTGTCTCAAAGGAAATATACTCTGGATTTACTCAAAGAGACTGAAGTGTTGGGGGCTAGACCTGCAGAAACCCCAATGGAACTCAATTGCAATTTGGAAGTGAAACCTGATGGGAAAGTTGTGAATAAAGAGAGGTACCAGAAACTGGTGGGAAAACTTATTTATCTATCCCACACAAGACCGGATATATCTTTTGTAGTAGGAACCGTGAGCTAGTTTGCAAGTAATCCTCAGAAAGAACATATAGAAGCTGCATACAGGATTATATTTGAAAACCACTCCAGGCAAAGGATTACTCTTCTCAAAAGGGGATATGAAGGGTGTAGAGATCTATAGAAATAGAAATAAGAGAACTGTGGGCTCACAAAATACAACAGATGTAAAGATTTTCACTAATGCAGATTGGGCAGGATCTATTCATGATAAGCACTCTACAATAGGCTATTGCACCTTCATAGAGGGTAATCTGGTAACTTGGAGAAGCAAAAAGCAAGTAGTAGTTTCAAGAAGCTCAACAAAATCTGAATATAGAGCATTAGCTTCGGGGATTTGTGAAGGTACATGGGTTGTATGACTGCTTAAGGAACTTGGTATGGAAATGAAAGTCCATATCAAAAAGTGGTGTGACAGCATAGCTGCCCTCAAAATTGCAAACAATCTTGTTCAACATGATTACACTAAGCATGCTAAGATTGATAGGCACTTTCTTAAAGAAAAGATTGAAGCCAAAGTCATAGATCTGGCTTATGTTCCCCCAGGAAAACAAGTTACAAATGTGATGACCAAGTCTCTTGTTAGAACCAAGTTTGATGAGATGATAAGCAAGCTAGGAATGATCAATATCTATTCACCAGCTTGAGAGGGAGTGTTGTAAGTAGGCCGATTAGGCCATAGGCTTTGGATGCATTAGCGTACTAAACCTAACCCTAGATTTATTTACTATTAGTTAGCAGATTATTAGAGATTAGAATAAATCAATTTATTATCAGATTTTATTCCTTGTATTATTGAGGAGATACAATACAATTTCGATCATATCTCTTCTCTCCTACATGTATCGCCGCCTATGATGAATAATACGCAGAATTTCAATCAAAAAATCACAGGTAATAACATAACCATAGCTGTTCCTATCCTTGTCTACTGATGCATTACCTGTCAGCATTTATTAGCCAGTCGAAAACAAAATTTTCAAGCCCAGACCACAGCTTCTCTGAAATGAAGGTAATATTCGATGGTTACAAAAAAAGGGGGAACACAGATTTGACCACAAATTTTCAGAAATTAATGCACAAAAAGAATACTATTAAAAAAAATGGTATAGTTACAGACCAGTAAGCCCCTCCTGCGGACAGCACTCCACAAAGCGGATACATGCTGAGCAGAAAATGCACTCTACTGCAAGCTGAATTCCACAGAAATATATATTATAAATTTCAAAATAGGTTACACTTTAAAATTCAGGCTCAGAGATGAGGAACAAAGGATCAAAATCTTCTCATGTGAGGGTTCACGGACCATGTCAAAGCTGCAAATCATAACCCTTCATTTTCATGAAAGCACATCATCATGCCACAAGAACAAACCCATCGCTCACTGTCTTGTTTTGTTTTCTCTCTTTCTTTTTCCTTCTTTCATATTTCTTGCTAACCAACAGGACAGAAAAATATGACATGAATTTCTTAATAAGACTAATCCCACGAGTCACAAAAGCCATTCACTGTCCCCAGGTAAGACCATCGATTATTTCTTAATTTGGCACTTTCTTTTTTTATACAAGAGAAAACTGTACAGACAACAAGGTCCACTTTCCCTCAGCAATTGAGCATAAAAGAATTTACACTTTACCCAATAAATCAAGAGAATCATAAATGATTTATGGATCTATCATCACGAGGAATTTTGACTAAGTATTATGAGGCCTGGCTAAAAGAGGAAAAGCTGATTTGGGGAACAACAAAAATCAAAGTGTATAACACCATAGTCACCAGGCCTTCTTCTAATGGTGAGGGTGGGCACAGACTTGGGTGGAAATTATAAGGGCTTGAGATTATTTCACTTGAAATGGCCACGTTAGCTCCTCTTATGAGAGGATTTGCATCCAGAATACGTCACAACAAGTTACAAGCATCATGTGAAAAAAGAAAACATGTGACCACTCCCTTTTTCGTTTGAGCGAGGGGCACCAATTAGACATTAAGCAAAGAAAAGGAAGATCAATGTTTTTTAGCATGTGGAATTTTGACTGGGTATCATGAGGTGTAGCTAAAAGAGGAAAAACAGAAATGGGGAACAATAAAAAATTAATGTGTGCAACACCAGAGTCACCCAGGCCTTCTTGAAGAAGTTAGGGTAGGAAGGGACTTGGGTGGAAATCATGTTCATGTTCTGATAATGACTTCCAGACAAAACAAAAATAGCTCTTAAGATATAACCATGCCCATTTGAAGGCCCGTTGCAGAAAGTTAAAAGATGGACAAACAAAACACTTACAATTACTTTTGTTAAAGCTTGAGACTACTCTTAGTCTCGTACAGAAATATTTAATTACACTAAGGGCAGCAAGGATCAAACTCTAGACTTATTATGGGCCACTTGACTAATTTAAGTTACAAATCATGGGCCCGAAATCATTTATAATTCAAACATTTAAGATGAATAAAAATATTCTATTTATCCTAGGAAAAATGTGGAATGCCAAAAAAAAAAAATTAAGATGTCAGGGACTTCTCACCTTTTTTTTTCTTTTTTATATTAAAAGGATTTAAACTCTGAACCACCCCACCATAACCTGTTGAGCTAGCCTCAAGTGGTTTACTTTTATCCTCATTTTGAAGGCTATGTTGTAAGGATTGTCACTCAATTATAACATGGAAAAGAATATAACCGTGTTTTCTTTCCTATCTTTTTTTTTTTTTTCTTTGGAGGTTAGGGTAAGATCTCAAAAATGGGTGTAGATGTGACCATTTAAATCAAGGTATGCAGAAAGAAAGTAGATGTGACCATTTAAATTTCAGAAAGTAATACAGCACCATTACCCTCTACAGTTCAGTAAATATAAACTCTAAAAAGAGACAAGCTATTGGAAATAATCAGATGGCATGAACCCATTGTCCAAATAATGCGGATTATACCAAATTCAAAGGTTAGGAGCCAAAAAATCCTACCAAAATAGTACCAAAGCTGAGATTTAAGGTTAATACATGGGACTTGAAAAAGTAGTGTCTTCTAATTACTGCAGGACAGATAACTGCCCCTGTTTTATGACTCAGATTTCTGGAAATTCACCATATATATGAATGATTTGTATCATACAAACTGCTTAAGAGTAGTACGAACCCTTTGTAATCTATGTAATATATGAAAAATTGTAGGAATTTAAGAGAAGAGATAAGGGAAAATGTATGAAGATGAAAGAAAGCAAAAGTTAAAAGCTTGTACCTTTCTTTGGAATGTAGACGCATCATTTGCACCCTTTGGGGATTCGCTACAGCAGATAAGAGAGCGAAAAAAGTAAATATATGGGAGGAAAAATATAAAGGAAACGCAATGAAAAGATCTGTGAAGTAGAAAGCGGATTGTAGTTGGCGAACAAGTGTGAAGCATTTTTTTTTTTTTGTAAATAATCAGAATGGCAAGTTAAAATAACTAGAATATAAAGACAAAAACACCCTACGATGAGGATCAAGTGTGCAGCATGAACAGGCAGTGGATACAGCATCTTAAATGAAATAAAGGGGTGAACTAGCTCAGAAAGCTCAGTACGGTAGGAAACCACTAATGTAAGAATTGCATTTCAAAGTGAACAAGGTTGAGTAATAAAGCTGAAATCTCCCAACAGTTGGGAGATAGAAGTAAATCTAGCTTAATCTCACTAAGTCAGATTATATCAGCATGAACCAGACCAACAAGCCGAACAAACGAAGATAGCAAAACAAGGTCTCTATCATTTGCTTATGAAGGATTCTATTGGCAGCAGTGGAGAAAGAAAATATTGGGAAAGAAGAAATAGAATAGGGAGGAAAGGTAATGAATTACCTGTCTCTCCATCTCAGTAATGCTTCCAGTAATGGTACAGGTGTATGTCGAGCAACCATAGCCAAGGAATCCAGTACTTGCTCGTAAGCCGGGTCAGATGGCCGTAGGTATTGTCCATCCTGAAATCAACCCAGAGAAAAAAAACAACGAGGGACGATGAAATGCATGAGAGAATATCAATTTGAAAAGCAGATTTGCCTGGCGAACAGTAGTAGACAATTCACCCGTTAAAGGAGAAAAATAAACGAAGATTGATTTGAGCTAAAAAAAAAAGGTCAAATTTTGGAAACTGCAATGAAGAGCACCTGAGCTTGAGCGGTTTCAATACGACGCCGGGCAAGTGGAAGGAACCGCTGGAGTAGGGCATCCACTATCAACTTCGCAGCACTCCCTGCCTTCATTGAATTTTCGGAAGATTTCCTACCAATCCCACTTTAGAGCATCCGCCTTGCATTCACTTCTAGAATTAAAAAGAGAAATAACAACAAACTCAAGTTCCGAGTCGTAAAACGAGAAGAGTGAATTGCAGGGTAAATGAGAAACCAGGTACCTGGGACTCTACAACGGCATTGCCCTTGCAGACAGAACTGAGGTGGAAACCGCAAAAGTACAAGCTTTTTTTTTTTTTTTTGTTTGACTGGTCTCCAGAGCTGAGAGACTTCACATGGATCTGACCTCAAGACAGAGACCACCTTCAATTCTCCGGTGATGATCGCGGGATGAGTACGCTGGCATTAAATTAATAGTAGAACATCGATTTCCCTTGTGGAAGTGTGTTCTCTTCGTTCTAATTAATTGTTCTCCTGATATGGTCGCGTAGGCCTGGCATTAGCTGGAACCCAATTAATCAACCCCCTATTAGAAGAAAAGAAATGATCGAGATGATCCTTGCTCTTGCCAATGGCTAGTGAAGTCTTTACCGGGGAATAACGTGCACTAGCAATTTCCCCTGTGCTAAACTGCTAATGCACGGAGATCGTGAGGGGCATAACAAAACAAAGGAAAGGGAATGGGGGGAAAAGACCAAAAAAGAAAGAAGAAAGAAAGAAAGAACGCACGTAATTCAATTTCCACAGGTGCATGAGAATGATGATGGATTTAGATATGATATAATATGAATAATGTTATGAAATTAACCTACTAAAAAATAAGATATATGGAGGGGAAATGGAGATATTGGAATGAGAGAATTTTTTTTATAAATTATTATACTTTTCAATATAAATAATATATTTTATTTATAGACATAATTTTGTATAAAAAAAATTACACAAATAATAATGACAAATAAATAATAACCAACACGAGAGTTTCATGAGAGAAATGAACATCCATACTTTTAATATTCATAACACTCCTTTTACTATTCATTCTATAAGAATGTGTCTCATTAAAAATTTTAATAAAAAAACACTTTGAGGGACAAAAGCTTAGCAAAAACTTTTTGTAGCAATCAAAAGAGTTTTGTAGCACGGTTTTTAATTGTAAGGTAATTTATTTTATGTTCAAGTATGATTTAATTTATTTTCTAACCGTTTGATCTTTTTGATCTTAAATTTTATCTAACTTCTATTATATTTTATGATATATCTATATGTCAATCTTTCAAAACTTGAATTTATGGCTCTTATCATTATGGAGAATAATTATTCATCTTGACTAGTAAATGTAGAAATTCATTTAGATGTCAATAGTCTTGCGGATATAATCAAGGATGACAATCAAACATTTAATTAAAATAAGAGCAAAGCCATGATTTTTTTTTATCATTATTTACATGAAAGGTTAAAAACTGAATATCTAACCATAAAAAACCCACTTGTTCTTTGAAACAATTTAAAAGAATAGTATGGCCATAGTAACCCTCTTGTTCTTTATCACCAACTATTACAACAACATTGTGAAAAAGGTTTCAAAAAATATTTCAAGCTGCTTTTTTATCTTCTTGTGTCTGGATAAAATAACAAGCTTTTGATAAAAAATTAAATTTTATCCAATTGATTCTACTCTATTTCTAGAAATGAATGCAATAACAAATAAATTAGCTTGTGATCATGGCTATAGACGCAGCTATGGTTGTGGTTGTACATCTTTCTACCATAAGTGAATAATGAATAAGAAAGAGAAACACAATAAAGAAACAAGTTTGGGGATGATAATAATAATGCCAAGAATTTGTGTTATGGTTGTGATGGTAAATGTCATTGGTTGTGTCTTTATCATACTCCAAAGCATTTAATTGATTTTTACCAAGAATTGCTTAAAAAAAATAGAGAGGCAAAGATATAGGCAAATTTTGCTTCCAAAAAAGGCGATTATGATGATAGTGACATAAATGTTACTTATTTGAATGTTGTTAATTTCTTTACCCATCTTAATTGAATCACCTAATTGAAAATAAAAATGTCTAGAAATAAATTTCTTATATCTTCGTGTTGTTAAATTTTATAATTAAGTGTCATTTTAATTTTATCATATTAAATAAAGAATTTACTTATAATATCTTTTTTTTCAAATAAATATGAGACTCATAAAAAAATATGTATGAGATCTTTTTTTTTTCACAAATGTAGGAGATTTATCACTTGTTGCGTGTATTTTGTATATATCTATATATTGAATAATTAATAACATATAACACACAAATTAAAAAAATAACTGTAGAACCTGTAGTAAAAAATGCTTGTAAATATAAGAATTATAAAAAATAATATATATGAGCTTCTTTTTTGGCAAATGTAGGAGATTTATTATTTGTTGCTTGTATTTTGTATGCGTATCAGATAATTAATGGCTAAAGTATAAATTTAATCCTCTAACTTTATATAAAATTTTAATTTAATTATTTAATTTTATAAAGTTTCTTTTTAGTCCTTTAACCTTAACATTGTTAGTTTCAAATAATTACTTTTATATCAATTATTATTATTTTAAAAAAATCAAACTTAATATATCAACAATTGAGAATGTTTTATTAATAGTTGAAAGCTTAATATAAAAATTTATTAAAATAAAACTAACAATGTCAAGGTTAAATGATCAAAAAGATACTTTATAAAATTAAAAAAATAAAATAAAATATTATATAAAATTAAATGACTAAATGTATACTTTAATCAATAATTAATTGTATATAACACACAAATTTAAATAATAAATTATAAAATATAATATTTTATTATTTAAATCAATCAATTTATTCTCATTCATTCTGATATGAGTAAATTTTAATCAATTCATATATTTTAAAAAATTAATTAATCTTAATAATTATGTCTAACATTAAAAACTTTGAATTAAGATATACTTGTGATTAACATTTTATTTTTTCCTAAATTAATTATAATATGATTTAATGAAGAGTAATCAAGAAAAGATGTCATAAATACTTTTTAAAAAATCATTTTTTCTTATAAAAAATAATAACAAACCATATCAAAATTTTGATTATATTTAAAAATTGAGGAAATATATAGCAAAATTTGTCAATGGATTATATATGACAAAATGTAGTGATTTTGTGAGATATATCATATTTTAATTTAATGACTAAAACAAATCACATCATTTAATAAGTGTCACATGCAGGGCACTGGCAATTATTTAATTTAATTGGACTATTGTAAGATATTTTGTCATATAATACAATCTACTTTTTTATTGTAAATGTTAAATATTGAACATGTAATAAAAATGTAAATTGAAAACTTAAGATAAAAGTATAAATTTAATTTTTACAAATTATAAAAATTCAAGTCTACATCATTAATTTATGTGGCTATCAATTCAAAATTATTAATTCAAGTCAATTTTATTTTATCATTAATTTATGTGGCTATCAATTCAATATTTTCATCTATATTAGCAAATTTTAACATTACATTACTTTTTTTTTTCAAACAATAAACTTAAAAAAAAAATATTATAGAGGTAACTTTGAAGGACTAAATTGTTATTAAAGCAAATTTTATCATCCATTTTTAAATATGCATTATATAATAAAGCATAAAGTAAAATGAGTTATAATCTATATCGAATGATAGTATGTTTAACATATTATTTGTTTGTGTACATTATAATTTAATTTTAAATTTTAATAACAAAGTGTAAGGGCAATAAATATTGTTTATAAAATGTTGCTTATATTTTTAACATATATAAAATAAGTTAATGAAAAAGTGAAAAATTCTATAATAAAAATTGTGTGAATGCAAAAAAATATTTTTCAAAGAGCTATTCTAATTTGTGTTGACAATATTTAAATTTGATTTAATTATATAATCATATAAAAAAAGTGTTTTATTTTCATTTTTTATATGCACAAGCATAAGAAATTCTTAAATAAGATAAATAGTTATTTGTATATAAAGTAATAAATTTTTTAACTAGAATATATTTTTAAAATTTTAATTTATGTGTAGATCACATTTAAAATTTTTTATATTTTATATATACACATGATATCATATTTTAAAATAATTTGTGTACGAATAAAACACATGATATCTCTAACTTTTATTTTGCTTTTGTTATATATAACCAATACTAAAATAAAATAAGATGTTCACACAATTTGAAAGGAAAACAAAATTCTAAAACAAGGTATATGCTTTGAAATTTTTTTGATTATTATATGTTTTAGAATTTTAATTTACATAGATATAACAATTCATAGATTAAAATAAATTATTGTCAGTATTTGATTATGCATGGGATAACAAATTTTATGAAAAGACAAGTTATTTTTTTCTATTTTTTAATCACAAATATGCTGGGAAAATAAAAATATATAGTTAATGGTTATTATTATAATTATTTTATAAAATAAAAACAAATTTTATGAAATGAGTTAATTTTATTTCACAATTTCTATAAACTATTATTTTTATAAAATTACCAACTTAATATTTATTCATAATTTAACTTCTATTAATTTTTTTATTTGTCTGGATTAAAGAAAATGATTGGGAGGTGGGATTTTAAATTTTTGTGATCTCAATTTTAAAAAATGGAGAAATGTGGATAGAAATTTTTTAATTATTTTTTTATTTTTTCTTTTACGTATATCAAATAAATTTTATAAAATATTTATCTATTTAAAAAAAACAAACTCATAAAAGTATTATCTTTTCTTTTTTATTTACTTTAAATGAAAAATGAGGATTAATATTTTCATGCATTGCACGGGGCACAAAATCTAATTTTATAATTAAGTGTGATTTTAATTTTCTTGTATTAAATAAAGAATTTACTTATAATGTCTTTTTTCAAAGAAAAAAAGTTTTAGTATTTCATATTTTAATTTTTTTCTTTGATGTGTTTTTTTAATGAAAAGTGTGTATTCATTTACCAACATCAATAATAGATATATATGTCTTGTTGATAATGCAACAACTTACACAATACTTAGGGTTAATGAGCAAATAGAACTCTAAATTATTGCTCAAAAGTCGTCTTAGATTCTGAACTCTTAAAATATACAAAATAAATCTCAAATTTATAATAAAATAAACCCTAACTGTTAACTTTTTGATACCATTATTGTCCACACAGGTACTATTTAAGGTTTATCTTCCTACAAATTTAACCTTAACTATTACAGTACCTATGTGGATGGTAACTGTGTTAAAAAAGTTAACAGTCAGAGTTTATTTTGCTATAAATTTAAAAGTTTAGAATTTATTTTGCATATTTTAAAAGTTTAAGGTCAAGGGTGATTTTTGAATAAGAGTTCAAGGTTATAGTTGCTCATTACCCTAATACTTATAGATAAAAAGTATCTTTCTTCTTTACTAATGCAAGAAACCAATATTCAAACTATATATGAAAGTATAAAACTAAATGATGGCTTTAAATGAGCTAATGTATTGTTGTTTGAAGGAATAAAATTACACATCAACGGTGCATTTTATTCTACCAAGTCTCATAGAAGTATATTGAGTTTCAAGGATACCTAAAAAAATAGATACCATATTGAGACAATAAATGAAGAAATGAAAATCTTAGAATGG